TATATATATATATATATATATATATATATAAATAATATTGCAAATATAATAAAATAATAATATAATAATAATATAATATAAAATAATATATATATATTTGCAAATTTAACATTATATATGTGTCATCATTATAATTATTATTATTATTATTATTATATTTAATTGCTATATATTACAAATTAATTATTATAAAATATATATTATAAGATTATATAAGAAAAAGAGAATATTCAAAAAATATATAGATGAGTATATATAATAATAATAACAATAATAATATATAATATAATAATCTGAAGGGTTAGAGAAGTGCTCATATTTGTTTTTTTATATTACAAAATTATCTCTACCTATAGGTAATTATAATTATTATGTTTTTTTTAATTACTGTATATACTTATAAAAAAAGTTCCATCTATATATATATAAAAATAATTAATTATTAATATTAAAATAATATTAGGAATACCGAAAAGTAATCAAAATTTTTTTGATTTCATTTGCATTAAAATTCAGTTTTTATATAATTTATATTTTATTTAAAATATATTTAAAAATAATTTCTTTTTTATTAATCGTCAGATTAAAAAAAAACAAAAAAAATAATTAAAAATTCGAGCAATGGGGTTCGATTATATTCGTTTATTAATAATCGTTTACATCGACTACTTGTGTATGTGTGTGAGCGTGTGTGTGTGTGTGTGGGTGGATATCATGTAAAATGGAAACAAACGTGTACGTTAATAAGACTCAATCGTGAGATAATAATCGCCAATGAAAATTTCCTATTTGAAAATTCGATGAAATTCTAGTGTACAGAAAAGGGTGAAGGAAACGGGGTAAAAGGGATGGCGGTGGTAGATGGAAAACGATCGAAATAATCGGCTATGGTCAGCATTTTAATCTTTAAATCTTATTAACGTTTAAATATGGATTGCCGGGAGGTTAATTACCGTAATAAATATATTTCCAAATTGAAAAGGTGTATTGCGAAAATTTAACTAATTAATCGACACCCGTTTATTATATTTCCATTCATGCTTTAACGTCTACACCCTCCCTCTCTCTCCCTTCAACCTTCCCAACCCTTCGATCACTTTTATGCACGTACAATGTAATTAAAAGTTTATTGAACTATTGTTAAGTGTATTGTGCAAGTGTTTTCTTTTTTATTTTTTTTTTTTTTATTCTACTGGGTGTTTTTCTTTGATTTTTTATATATTTTTACAGAATTTTTGTCTATAACATTTTTTTATATTTTTTTTTTGGGGAGAGGGTATGCGTGTAAAAATAATTTTTAAATAAATCATATTAGTTTTGAGGGGTAACTAATAGTTTTTTTTTTTTAATACTCATATATATATATATATATATTTAATATTGTATATGATATAATATATAATTTAAACTATATTAAAAAAAAATACTTAATATACGTATACTTAATATTTAATATAAGTTTAAAAAAATTATATTTAATATTATATTTATTAAATATTTTATAATATTAATATTTATA